ATCTGTCCGACACTGAAAATCCGTTGTATTGTAAAATTCGTTATATCAAAATTCGTTGTAGAAAGAGTTGACTGTAGTCTTTTTTATTTTACAAAACTTGAGTAATTTGATTACTGGTGGCTATTTTTTCTTGTCTATATATTAATTATTATATAAAATGATGTATACTTAGAAAACGTATATAATTATAGGTAAATATATTATAATTCTCTTTTTTAGATTTTCTTATTAAACATAATTGATTAAGCTTTTCTAAATGCATATTTAAATCTATCTTTGTATTAATTGGCTGTGATAATCTAATATTTCTAGAAACTGGTTGAAAAAAAGATATCAATCCTTTTTATTCCTTTAGCATATTCTTCTAATTCTGTTTTTTCCTTTTTTTGCCTCTACTGTATTGTTTTTGAATTTCCAGTATATACTGCTCTAATGCTACTTGTAGCATTCTTATACTAATGAAAGGCTTTAATAATGAGTTTCTTTCTAATGTTTGGAAATCTTCTTCTGCTCAATCTTCAACAGCTTTATCTTCAATAATTTTATCTTCTTTTAATTCTTCAATAGTTTTATCCTCTGCAAATTTTTCAATAATTTTATCTTCCATCCATTCTTCAGTAACTTCTTTTTCAATAGCATTTTTTATTGTAGCTTGATCTTGAGACACATAATGTCCTTTTTTTTAGATATTCAACTAATTTGCTTTTACCTTTTTGTTTTACGCGTCATCTTAAAAAATGAATCTAAATGTAAAAAAAAATACATTGGCTAAAGAAAAAAAATTTAATTTATTCAAATTTAAAATATTTTCTGAGTTTTCAAGTATAATATATTAATAATAATTCAGATTGGTACTAAGTTATTATAACATTGGCCTAAATTATGTAAAATTTTGACCAATAAAATTATATGTATATAATTTGATCTGTTTTAAATTTAGGCTGATCATATAAAATCATCAAATTTAAAGCTTATAACTTTTTATGTAGACATTATTTTAAAAATTTGACTGGTAATTTAATAGTATTTATCTTAAAATATAAAGTTACCAGTTTATTTTTTTAAAATTTTATTTTTTTAAAGAGTTAATAGATTTTTAAGTATTATAATTTTTATTGTTGGATTAAGACTTCTAGCATCATATAGAGTTAAAATTAAAGTTAGAATTAAAAGGTTAAGTGATTTATTAAAAATACTAATTACAAAATAGTATTATAATTAAGGTTAATTATACCAATAATTATATTATTTATTAAAAATATGTTAAAATCTTACATTTTTTTATTATGATAAAAATTGCTAGTTAATTTTATATTTTAACAAATACTAATTTAAATTACTTATATAATATACTTTAAGATTGTTTCTTATATATACTAGAAAATGAAAATATTATTAAGTCTAAAGTGAACTTGATACTTTTCAAAATCAGAGATTTTATTAGTTAAATATAATATAAAGAACAGAAAAATGAAATGCAATAATCATATGATTGAAAAATTTTTTATAGTACATAAATATATATTGTTTTTCACTTTGTTCTAATTAATAAAATTTTAGTTAAATTTGAATCAGTAGTTATTAAATAATTTAATGTAGAAAATGTTATTCAGATACTTTTATTTATTCTCTATATATTCTAATTAAAATATAATTATTATTTGCTAGTCTTAATATAAAATATATAGAAGATATTAGTTAAAGTTTTACTTAATTCAAAGATTTATATATAAATTAATTTTATAATATTTAAAAAAATAGATATGTTCTAATTATAATAAATATAGTGAAAAATAATAATAATTTCAAATATTGATATAAACTTTAATTTTATTTATCTTTAAAATTGACTTTACAGATCTTCATTATTAAAGTTTGATTATAAAGATTCTTTTTATCAGAATAAGAAGGTGCAAGTGAATTATTTTTTAATAGTATATATAATAAGATATCAAAAGTTCAAAAGGTACTTAAAAATTAAAAATCAATAGAAATCTTTTAATTTATATTAACTTTTTTTATTAATTTAATTGATTTTAATAAAATAAGCAAACATTTTTGTAATTATCATTATATAGAAAATATAAAAAAAAATGATAACTATATATATATTTTAATTGTAAATTTACAAAATAATTTGATATTTTATATATATTATAATAAAAATGTTATTTTATTATAATTAAAATAAATATATAAATTATTTGATGACTTTACAAATCCTTTTTACTTGATGTTTCATTATATTATATTATAACAAAAAATAGCAGAAAACTTTACATTTTGTAAAAATAAATAAAAGCTGTATTTAATATATTAAAGATAAAAAAATCTTAGAATATAATTAGGTAAAATTAGATAAATTCTATTCTAAAGAAACTTCCGTTCAAAAGGATAAATCTATTTCTATAATCATAATCATCAAGCAAAAAGAATTTAAGGAAAATATCCAAGTAAACAAGGGAGGAAAAAATAAACTTTGTGCATTTCCGCAGTAAAAATATATCGCAACTAGACTTTATTGTATAATTTGAATTTCCTTGATATCAGATTAAGTTGATCAGGTTTACAATTCAATTTGTATCTTCTTACTTTTCTATTAAAATAACTCATCCATGAAGAGAATAATATGAGAAAGTTAATAACAAGAAAGGAAAATGTACTAGGGAATAAATCCTCAATTCCTTTTTTTACTTTTCTTTCTCCTTTTGCTTCTCTGAGTAGGTAGATTATTAAGATTATTATAATAATCATCCTCTGAATCATGTTCAATATAAATGATTTCATTTTCCTCAACTTTGTGTCGTTTATGTCCTCTGGATGATGATGATTCCCCAACTTGATAATCGTATCGTTCATCCTTCGATGTTCTTCCACTTTTTGATGAACCAGCCTTTCTCTCATTACGTTTAGTCATAACTTCCATCTCTTCATTAGTATAAGCAAAGACCTTATTATATGTTTCACCGTAAGTAGCTAATAGAAAAGTAGAACCTTCACAAGGGTATTCCCTATAACTATCCACTTCGTTTTTCCACTGATATGCCATATCTCGATATTCTCTTCCTGTTCTTTTATTTTTGATTCTCTGTGTTCCATTCCTATTACTCAGCTTATTTGCCTTGTCATTTTTAAGTCTATCGGCGTATTCAATTTCGTGCAGGAAGCGGTTCACTATGTGCGAAAAATTGGGAGGAATTATATATGCGGTTTTATAATTATCTGCCAATATTTGCTTATCAGCATATAAACGGTGAAGTTCTTTTCGAAATTCTATAATCCTTCGTGGTATGAAGAAGATCGAAGATAATATCGATTCTTCTATAATCATTTCCTCATCTTGATTATGATATTTGCGTTCCAAACTACCAACTCGAACTACCAGACGTCGAAAAGCCTTTTCAAAATATGAGAAAATAATATCTGTATTTCTTGTAGATCGTGCTATATCATTGTCTGATATTTTCATATGATAATTATTATAAGTTATTTGTCAGAAATAAAAGATTCATCACATTTAAGTACCTGATACGTACCGGGATCCGAGGGGTCTTGTATGCATATATTTGTATACGGATTTTTCGTTGTCCAACTCTCATTATTCTGATAAAATGAAATAAAAGAATGATCTTAGAGGAATGAGTAAATTTAAAAATTATCAACTATAACAAAAGTTTTACCTTCATGACATATTCACCGCCTCGATTTACACTTATGGCAATATTAAAAAAGTTAAAATTTAACCCATACAATTCAAAGAATTCTATAAGCAATACACCTAAATTATCGTCATTTGGTATTAAAGTGCCATTTCTAATAAAGGGATGCATCTAAACAAATTAAGGATTTCTCTTTGATAAAAAGTAATTATAAATATTAAGAAGCATGGAGAAAGTAACAAATTTACATATACGTACCTGGAAAAAGCTAAGCATCATACAAAAAACCGTAAATCCACCCATTCCTCCAGTGGATGGATCGTCAAGTCCGTGATGTTTCAAGAACCATTTTACAACTATTACCATTTTACCAAGTAATGGCCATTGATCCAAAAATTCTTTCATTGATCGAGCCGAAATATATCCAGATGATTGGTTGAATGAAATATCTACATTGAATTTTGTATAATACTCTTGAAATTTGATAATAGGGACTACCGCTTTCATTATTGTTGCAGGTCTTTCTGCGCTAATACGTTGATAATCCAACAAATTGGCAATCTTTCTAAGAACGTTTGGCGAATTATCTCTTACAAAACACACTATATCGAGATCACTATAGAAAATATATATGTTATTTAGTGGTTTAGATCATCTTGGATAATTTTAAAAACTGTAATCATACCTAGTAGGAAGATAAAGTCCCGTGTTAAAACTACCAAAAACCATAACTTCGGCGGATGGATAGCTACTTTTAATACACTGTTCAATACGCTTGATTGCAAAAACTCGCCACAAACGTTCAATATCCGTGGGGCAGAGATACTTTACAACCTCATCAATTTCATAATGCAATCTATGGTAAACAATTTAAGTTTAATATGAAAGGTATCATGTGAAAATATTTTAAAAAATTAAAAGGTACCTTTGCGTTGCGTTCTTATATTTCCGACCGCTATCTTTCGTTACCCATGGCACTTCATCTTCAAAAGGTACCCTCCAAGTTTCCGAACGTTCCTTCCTTTTCATCCCTGAAGCACGATTTCTTTGTCGCATCGCGTCAACTTCAAATAATTCTCGATTTGAAAACTCACCTAAAGGAATAAAAGAAGACTGACTGACAACATCGGTAGCTTGTTGAGATAGACTCTCAGTTATAACAGTCGAAGTTTCTGAGACGCTTTCCTGGGAAGTGCTATTCTCTTGAAACATTTCTGGAGCATCTAACGAAGGTGTACCATATGGCATTTTCATACAGGAGTGTGGAAAACATATGTCAGGTGAACGATAAATATCAAAAACTGGTTGATGATCAACTGCCGATCCGATCGGGTGTTTCTTGCACGCGAATATTATAATACAAAAATAAATGGTGATATATACGTATATATACTATTATTATATAAAATATAAAAATTCACTAAAATGCAGCAGCCAGAAGAAGAAGAACTTCAAATTGAGAGCAAATACATTAAAGAAAAGAAAATTGGGGAAGGAACATATGCAAAAGTGTATAGAGGTACATAAAAGTTGTTATTAGGAAAAAGTCAAGCGCGTATCGTACTCTGACACTTTTAACACACTTCAACAGGTACAGAAAGCGCGACTGGACGGACCGTCGCCATCAAAAAGATAAAGCTCGTACAAACTGAAATCGGGTCACAGGGCATCGAATTATCAGCCGTAAGGGAAGTTAAATGCCTACGTGAGTTACGACATCCTAATGTAATTGAGGTGAGTCAAAATGATTATAATATAAATTTTACAATATAAAGAGAGTACTAACCAATTGTTAAAATAGCTGATTGATATTTACTCTCATAAGTCTAATCTAAAACTTGTATTGGAGTATTTGGATTCAGATTTGGAAATGATAATAAAGGATAAGAGCATCCTTTTTCAGGCTCCCGACATTAAGAGCTGGATGTTAATGACATTACGAGGATTGGATCATTGTCACAGGAATTGGATCCTGCATCGGGTAAGTGTAAAATAATTGTTTCTTTTCCTTTCTTTTTTATTGTAATCACGCATTGATAACATTGTAAATAATTTATAGGATATGAAACCGAATAACTTGTTGGTAGGGAAGGATGGTCAATTAAAAATTGCTGATTTTGGTTTATCTCGTGATTATGGAGACCCTCATGCTAAAAATATGTCACCACAAGTGGTTACTCGGTATTTTATATTTTTAAATTTTATCAATAAAAATAATTCGATCAATTTTATAATAAACAGCTTTTATCTATAAAGTTGGTATCGAGCCCCTGAATTGTTTTTTATACCATCTCAATACGGTTTTGCGGTGGACATTTGGTCAGTGGGTTGTATATTTGCTGAATTATTGTTGAGAACCCCTTATCTTGCTGGAGAAAGCGACCTTGCACAACTCGAACTTATTTTTAAAGCTTTGGGAACCCCTACTGAAGAAGATTGGCCGGTATTTATATATATATATATATATTCATGAGACTTTAATGAGAGAGAGAGATAATTCTTTTTAAATCTTTTTTTTTTTATCTTAGGGTTTTTCAGAATTGGCTCGAGATATGAAATTTCAAAAATTCTCTAGAACTCCGTTACAGGTTCATTTCAAAGCCGCAGGTTCCGATGCGATAGATTTATTAGAAAAGATGTTAGCTTATGATCCAAACAAAAGAATTAATACGCGAGAGGTCTGCTAAAACTTCTTATTTTATTTTATTTAGTTTATTATATAGTTGGATAGATGTTTATCTCTTTTATAATTTTCAGGCATTACTCCACTCTTATTTTCGTAAGCACCCAAGACCCACACCACCCGAAAATTTACCAAAACAGCAAAAGATACTTGAAAATGCGATCCAACAGAAAGAATTAAATTCCAAGCAATCCAACAAATCAATTCGAGGTGAACTAACGGAACATAATAGAAACAAACGTAAAGCACAGGAAAGTAATAATAAAAGTGATAAAAAGATCCACCTTACTTGAACGAATCCTTCCTTTAGATTTTAGTAAAATAGAAAAAAAAAAAGCGTAATAGTAAAATTGATTAATTTGATTTTAAGATTTACACATTATAGAATTCATTATTTACAGGTTTGCATCTAACTGCATTGACCCAAAAGATAAAAAAAAAAAAAAAAAAAAAAAAAAAAAAAAAACACATTGTTAAATTGTTATATAATTTGGTTATTTTATTTTTACAAAATATCACATTGTATTTTAAGTTAATTAAATTATTTCAATATTTAAATGATTAAAAGTCCAACCTTTTTTTCTATTTAGTTGAACGGAAAATTTTGGTAATAGGTATTCGGAGTTTAATTGGTGAAATATTGTTACAGATTGACCATTTATTTTTTTGCTCTTGCTGAAAATTTTTTAGGAGAAAAAAAAAAAAATGTAATAAGATCGTTGCCTTCATAGTTGCCCTGGAAAATAATTAAAGTTGCTCCTAACTTTACACCAAAGCACCGTAATGTCTTGGATTATTAGAATTTTGCAAAATTTCCGGGACTAAAGAATCTATTTCAGTGGGCATGGTTTCATAAGTATCGCTAATGATCCCGTCACTGTCATCATCATCATCATATTGGAAAGTCTTATTGGATCTACCATATAGTCAATCGAGACTTTTCTCCTTCGCTTTCTCAATTTTTTTCACAAATTTATCCTCTACTTTCGAGTTCAACAAGAACAATGCACCCCTAACGATCACCATGATTCCAAAACAAAAACCAACAACAGACCACCATGATCCAACTTCATCAAATACGATCATACCACTCATAGCGACAAATGTTACATGTGATGAATAGAACATTGGTTGGAATTGTGTGACACGATATTTACTTAATGCTAACTGTTTACAAGTCTCTTGTCCAATTATGCCAATAATCAGTATAATTATTATTGCCATGAGAGAAATTATTAAGGCAAGCATTGAGGCTGAAGATCTGACCTCATCAAGGATGACGGGTAAGATCTTATCTTCCAAGTTTGAATTATTACCATCGGAAGGAGCAAACACCCAAACCTTTAACAAAAGTGCTAAAAATTTTGATGTCACTACAGTCAGTGATCCAAATCCTGCCGTCATGAGAACGTAAAGGATCAAGGATGATTTTCTCTTCCTAGCGCGAACCATTATAAAAAAGATGCATTGAGCCACAAGTATTGTAATCAGCCACAGAATTACATGAAACCGAGTCATATACGCGAACAATTTGGAAGTGGTCGATAATTGATTTTCGATACTATTCGTTGATGTTGCAGAGAATACGATGGTCACAAGAACACCAGAAAGAATAAAGAAATATCCTTTGGTTTGACGCCAGCTAATTTGTTCATCTAACAAAAACTTTGCAAGTATAGCATTTACAACAACTCCCAGAATTCCAAGAGGGGTGACAACTGACGCGGGTATGAGTGAAAGAGCAACCCAATTTCCACATAACTCGCCTAGATAAACTAAAGAAATTCCTATAAACCATGTTCGATCTTTAAACCTTGAATAAGATACTGGAACAGGTGAAGTAGTCGGTAGAAGCGGCTGAGAACGTGTATCATCTTGATTTGATGATGCTGTAAATCGTGCTTCTCCACTCGTTAATGCATACTTTTGTAGACAATTTCCTAAACCGATAATTGAATTCCCTGCCAACGCAGCGACAAGTCCCCAGAAAAAAGACATAATTGGGAATTTGTTTTATTTTATTATAAAAAAAAATATAAAATTAAAAAATAAATACAAGAGGTTAATCCTCAGAACGTTATTGCTGAATAAAAAAATTTTTTTTTTTTTATAAATATTTTATAAAATGGTTTTGCCCGACTACTAGTGCTATCGAATATTAATAAATAAATTTTCTATCCCGCGGTCTACGCGGAGAACGATATTTATACTTGCTGAAGAAAGAAAAAGAAAAAAAGAAAAATTTTTTAAAAAATGAACGACATGGGTCTGCAAGGCGAACTGGAAGGACTCGAACTATATTCTCACAATTCCCCTTTTATTTACCTATTTATACTTGTTACAGAATTACACAAAAATTACTGGCAAATCCCGATTTCACATTCTATTCGTATGAAACAATGTGAAACCAATTATAAATTATTTAAGGTGCATATCTTGTCATTTTAGAAAGTTTTTTTTTTAATGAAAATTTTTGTTTGTTTGTGTTAAAATATTTACCCCAATCGAATTTTATCGTATCAAAAGATAAATTCCAGGTAAAACACTACCGACCAATAAAGACTATGAAATGGATTCGTCCTACCGCTTGACATTATCAAGAATTCTTTGAATTTGTCAGTTCCCTAAAATTCATCGTTATTTTTGTTCTTGCTAGATTTGCTGAAAAAAAAAAATATCATATTAGTATTAGTAACAAATATGGTGAAGTTGTTGGTACTTCTTCTACATATTGACAACTTACAAAATGATCTGCACTAAGGTAAACATCAAGGTTAAATTTATTGCATCACGAGCTACGTCCCATCTCACTATATATAAAGAATTGATATTCTCGTCGAAAGTTACGGTTACATAATCAATGTGCAACAGGGAATACTTTCCCTGCGTAAGATTATTAACATTACTGCAATATTATTTTTTAAAGTCGTGCATATGAAATCTTCGTTTATTTTTTAAGTCCCGTCAATCGAAATAATTACCAATGCTTTGATGATTCCCAGAATGGCTAATTTCCTCAAAAAATACATTTTTCCAAGGCAAAGAATTACAATGCACCACCACAAACGAAGTAACAAGATGTCGTACATTTCGCAAACATTCAATATTACGTGTATACTCAATCAATTTGGACATATGTATTATATAAAAGTTGATGTCCTGGTTAGATGACTTTGTGCTAGTAAAGCAGAAATGTTCAGACCAATCAAATTTACATTTGCATCATCAATTCAAACCTGCTAAATGAGATGCTTATGTTAATATGACAAATTTTCGGTCTGTTAGACATATTGCTTAAAATGACACATGATTTTCGTCACATGCAAAACGAATCATTGGTATCACGAACTAATGAAGCGAAATTTACAAATGTATTAAGAATTCTATATTCTCGGATATAAGGCGGAATGGAATGTTGTAAAATAGATTTTTATTTTCATCTCTATTAATTTTGCTCAAAATTTTATAATAGATCTGAAATTGCTTCCTCTCGTAGAAGTCTCTTTAGGAACTTAAATAACAAAATTCCCTTTATGATCTATGTCGTTACGGAAATTACCCGTGAAAAGTAATAAAGATTCGTCTATTTATGTGTTAATAATTTTTGATTGGTAAAACATATGAGCCAAAAGTTACTTCAAGATTTGATGTCACCAAATTCTGAATTATTTTTTTTGAATACAAAAATAAACCAAACGTCGATACAGGTTTTTGAATTTATAAAAAGGTCAAAACAGTATATGCAATTATTGAAAAAAGAATAGCCAGCGTTGAAGCGTATCCATTTGGTCGAGCGCAGTCATTCACAGGTAGACTCCCTAACGGTACAAACGTCCCGGTTATCCAGATAAATGAACGCAGCAATCTAACCATGCTTTAACAAAAAATAAAAGAAAAAATTTTTCATCCGATTATTTAGTATTTATGATTAAGATCACGTATTGATGAGCACGCGTGACGTTTTGATATTATGATCAAATACCAAATTATGCATAATAAAATAAATTATGCTAAATTATGCGTTTATAATTTTGGCCAAAATTATCAAATTAATTATAATTTAAAAAAAGTTTATTTAATACACAGAAATCGTAAAAATTTTATTTATAAACCAATCTAATTATATCCTATTAATTTTTGAAATGAAATTTGACATAATGATAAATTATTTAGATAATTGATATCTCTATCACTTAAAAATTATGTTCAACATTTACATCCGAAACTGAAAGCTAAATATAAATTAATGCTATATTAGCTAATATTGGTAAGATATTTTTTTTTTTTATCTAATATTTTTTTAAATCAAAATCCTCTCTGAATTAATTATTTCATTGAGATTACTATAAATTCTCTGTTCATAAATTAAATTTAAATATGATAAAGCTAAATAATTCAAAATATATTTTTCAAATTTTTGTAATATACTTTTAAATGTATCAACAAAAATATCTGTAAAATAATTAATATTAACTTATTCTACTTGTATTTTTAATTTCATTTCTTCATATAATCATAGATTTATTATTTCAGATTTTAATAATATATGTATTTCTTTTACATATGAAATTATATATAGAGCTAAAGGTTGCTTGTAAACTTTAAAAAATTTCAAATTAATTACTAATCTAAAAATAAAATTTAATTTAATTATTAATAATAAAATTTATTAAAATAAATAAATAATCATACCTTTAGTATTATAATGAATAAAATCAATAAATATTTTAAATGTTATCTATGTAGTATTATTAAAATAATTACATATATTCTATATTGATTTACTATTATCATAAATATTATTTCTTTAAGAAAAAAATATCAGATATAAAAGATAATTTTTAATATAAAAAATAAAATTAAACCATAAATTTCACTTTATTTTAATTGAAAAAGGAGGTAAAAATAGATTTAATAAATAAATTTGAATTATTTTAAATTAAAAAAAATAAAATAGAAGATTTAACAATATTTAAAATAAGATAAGTAAAAGTAGTTTTAATATTAATAATATATTATTAATAATATGAAAATTTTGATTTTTAATTCAAGTTTCTTCGACTAAATTATAAACATGAGCTAAACAGCAATTATATTTCATTTAAGATATAATAATAGAAAGATTTCTAAAGAATTTTAATATATAAGTGCATTATCTGAAATAAATAAAATAATATTTTCAAAAGAAATTAAAAATATTAAAAGTTTTAATAATAAATTGAGAAATTACATTTTTAGCTGATTTTTTATAAACATCAGTTGATTTATTAATTATAATACTAATTTTCTTTTA